TATATAGATAGATAGATAGATAGATAGATAGATAGATAGAGGTTGAGAGAGATGTTATCTACAGTCATATTCTCCTAAAAAGATATTAATATATCTATAGCTTATTATAGTGACAGATAGATTAATGTAAAGGAAAAAAATAAACATCATAAATTTAGCCATTAATATAGGCTTCAAATTAAACTGATGGTTAATAACTTTTCCATTGAAACTTATGATAATGCACCATGTTATTGTCTTTCATAACAGGAGTGTGGGCGACAATCTTCCCGCACTGTCTTTCGAAAAAGAGGTAGTTTTTAAATACCATAAAAAATAGGAAGACTTACATGCATACCACCACTAAATTCCTAACTAAACCTCTATTTTTAAGTAATATTTCTCGAAAGTTATAAAATAATAGTGTATACAAAAATGTTTCAGCACGAATCTCAAGGCATGTCAGAGGATGCCTAACTATTAGAAAACTTAGAGGCCAATTTTTTTATCAGAAACTTTTTTATCAGAAACATCAAGATCAAGATTAACCAAGGTGACCAAGTAGCTCGAACCGGAATGGTTCAACGGGAAGCAAAGTAAAAGGGAATCCAGGCCATTCCATATGATGAAACCAATCTCAGGGGAAAGCTAAGCTCTCTGGTGCTACAATTCCCTTGGAGGCATCCAATGACCTCCCCAAAAATCATCAAGACAAGTCTCAACTATCCCTCAAGCCCTCTTCATTTAACGGGAGCTACATATCAAATTACGTCCTCCCAATAGCCTAGCTCTACCATGCCGACAAGAGCTCCTTGTCAAGGATCAAGAGCTTGTGACCTCCCTTGATCAGCCAATCCGCACAACTCAGCAGAATGAGTCAATCTTATCGATCATTCGCCAGTAAAAGTCTAGCCAACCGACAACATTAAGCCTAGCCAACAGACAACGTTACTAGGTCTGGCTAACCGACAAACATCTCTAGCTTAGCCGACCTACAATGTCCATTAAAGGCTAATTATTTCAGTTAGCCGAGTCTTGAAGCAACTAGGATTTGGGTCCACATACATGAAATACATATAATATCTGTACAGTCTCTACTAAGCAGAGACATAAATGTAGCTTCACATATTGTGGTTATTTTTTTTATAAATAGGGGATCATTCTATGAATTTAGAGTTACACTCTTCTGAATTACTATTCAATATTGTACATTTCTATTTTTGTTTCTCTTTCATCTCTTATCTTACACTCTATTGCTTGGGTGACTCATAGAAAAATCAACATTCAAAAAATAAAATAGTTTTAATCATTAAAGTATACACAAAGTAGAGCATATAATCATAATTAATCTATGTACTTATCTTACACTCTATTGCTTGGGCGATTCACGAAAAAATCAACATTCAAAAAATAAAATAGTTTTAATCATTAAAGTACACACAAAGTAGAGCATATAATCATAATTAATCTATATTGTATTTTTGGCAAGATCTCAAATATATAGTTGTAAGACTTTAAAAGAAAATGATAATTGTCCTTGTTTTTAAAATAGTACCAAAAAAAAAAATTCCTTGAAATGCCCCATGAGTTCATAGATTCAATCTAGCACAATAATCTCCTTCCCCTCCCCCTTGCCCTTCCTACTCACAATGAGCTAGTCATGTGAGTACATCATCTAATAGTACTAACTAAGTGTAATTCATGCACCTAGTGAACAACCATTGACTAACTTTAATTTCTTCTACATTTTTTAGCACTCAACCCTTCTAAATCATGAATTCTGATGTAGGGGGGTCTTCTCCCACATTGTCTTTGAAGAGTTATAAATATTACATAGATTTTGTTGATGATTACTCTATTCTTTTGGGTGTGTCTTCTAAGAATTAAATATCATACATTCATAAATTTTTTGAATTTAAAACTCAAATTGAACCCCATAAAAATGCCAAATTTAAAATATTCACAAATTATGGTGCTGGTGAATTAAAAAACTTTACGCTCTAAAACATGTTGAAATAATGTGATATTATGCATCAATTAAATTGCTCTTATACTCCTCAACAAATACCACCACCTCATTGAATTTGTTTGCTTTATACTGAAGTGTCTTTGTATCATTACATTTAAGTAGATAACCTACTCATCACTTGATATCACATTATTCAATTGTCATCCACCACTGCAAACTCTAAATCACCTTGTAAACTTTTTTATAATCAACCACCGGTTTTAACCACCTCAATGATTTAACTATCGATGATTTCTTGGCTATAATCTTATACGAAAACAAAATGGCTTCAATCATATGCCACAACCAAACTATTTTTCATGTTTATTAGTTTTTTTTTTATCATTGGTTATGCTACAACTTGAAAGGGATAAAAATGCTTTGATCCTAAAACTGGCAAAATTCATATCATCATACAATTTTACATTCATGAAACCATTGTCTAGTTTTATGGACTCCATCATTCAAAACTTTCATCCTCCATCTCACTCCCCAGTCATCTTACTTCACATTCATCCAATCATACTCTCTTATCTAACTAGCTGATAATATCATTAGCAATTTTTCTTCCTACCCAACCTTGGCACATCTAGCAAGAACATCCTTCATCACTAACTATCCCAAACAAAATCCTAGACCTCAACCCATTAGTCGACACAATCATCCATCAATAACAACTTAAACAATACCTCATCTCCGCAACCTAATTTATGTTAGTTCCTCTAAAGAAGGAGCATATATAACCTAGGTAAAATTTTAAAAATCACCCACAACATTAATCCCACTAGACACACAACAATAGTGAATGACATCCATTGGCGTCATGCAATCTCTAATGAGTTTCAAGTCTTGCAATCTCAAGGCAGATAGTTCACGGTCTCTCCTTCTCCCACACAAAACACCATTGACTACAATGGACATTCAAAAATAAATATAATGCAAATGAAACCAAAATTCCATGCAAAGTACATTTAGTGGCCTAAGGCTTGAAACAACAAGGACTAGGCTATACTAAAAAATACAACACAATTGAAAAGATTCTAACGATTTATGCTCTCATCTGGATTTCCCTCATAAATAATTGACCTAAATGCCTCTGATATTTTTCTCCACGATAAGCTCACCAAATCTATCTTTATGTCGCAACCACAATTGTTCATGAACACTAATCACCTGCATTGTATATTTCTTCTTACGGGGGCATCTCATAGACTTAAGTAAACGCCTTGATTGTAGTTTTTTATTTTCTCTCATCTACAAACGCTTAAGCTTGATCGATTCAATATTTTAGACCTCTCCTTCAATCAAATCTACAAAATAGTATATAAATAAACATCTTGGTATATGCGGACGATATACTACTTGTATTAATAATAGGAAATGATTCTAACGATTATAAAACTACCTTCATCATATATTTAAAATGAAATATAACGACAACTTAGTCAAATTATCCTAGCAAGTATTGTTGCCTAAACCATAACTTATGGAATGCAACTTAGGCTAGTCTTAAATCTCCATGATCATATTTTGTAAAGAGAAAAAAATGACAACTTGCAAACCAATGATCAATCCATGCTCTCTCAAACAATTTGACATAGCAAACTCGACAATGGAAATTCGGGATCAAGAGCTGTATATCTACATCGTCATGTCTCAATAATATCTTATCTTACAATTACTCCCTATATATCTTCTTTGCGGTCAATAAGTATGGCAATACCATTTTTAAAAATACAAACATCTCTTGAGAAACATTCGAGGCACGAAACAACTTGGTTTACCCACAAGTACTGACCATCTCAATCTCACGACCTATGTAGAATCAAACTAGAAAGGTGATTCAATGCATCAAAAAACTATAATTTGTTGTTGTGGTGCAATTTATCTCTTAAGAGCTTCAAAAAATAATTTTTAATATACAAACATCAACTGGAGTTGAATATAGAGCAATACACAGTTGAAATACCAATATGATGATACGAATTGTTGTGTTCTATAAGGGGTTCATTAATATAATCTCAAGCCACACACTTACAATGTAGCTTTAGCTAATAACTACGAATGCTAAAAAGCCTCGTTTTTCTCAAACAATTTGTGTTTTGACTCATTAAGTAGTTGGTGCTTGATTCTTTCGTTAAACACGTGAGCCAAACACACAAATTTTTTTAACTCGATATATGAATGAGCCAAACACGAACAAAAGTTTGTTCGTACATATTCTGCTCAATTTGACTTGAAAGAATTAACTAATTAAATAATAAAATATTCTTTATATCTTTTTATATTAAATATCAACTGGACTTAAAAAATATTAAAGTCTATTATTTTTAAAAATTATTTGAGCGGTGTAACTATCAAAGTATAAATAGAGCTGTTAGAAATGTAAATACAATAGAATTAGGGGTTATGCATGCAAATACCAATGGAAAACTTCACTTGCCCTTCGAAAATTCCGATGAAAAATTCTTCTCCCCGCCCTTCGAAAGTTGCCAGCGGATAGACACATAAATACATATTGGTTGGTTGGTATATATGTAAACGTGCTCGTCTTTATGGTTGATGTCGGCGAGTTCTTTTTCGTGGGTAGGGCTGTAAACGAGCCGAGCTTGAGCGAGCTCAGGCTTGGCTCCGGTTT